AATGGCAGGCAGGTAGAATACTGAGGAGAACAAGTTGATTAAAACAGAGTCCATTGCAAGGCAACAGATATTCAGCAAGCACATAACTAATACCAGTCACTGAGCTGGATGCTGGGAAGGCGCAGCGGAGAAAGCCCCATCTCCCGCCCTCAGGCTGGTGGACACAGAACTGGGACACCCGTGACAAGTGCGAAGTAGGAGCACCAGGTGCCAGAGCGGCACGGGGGAGGGGTTTCCCTCCAGCCTGGGTGTCAGGGGTGCTCCCCAAGGGAGGTGAAACCAGAGCTGAGACCTGAATGAGTGGGAGTTAATCGGGCCTGAGGCAGAGGGAAGGATGTCTGAAGCACAGGGAATAGTGCATGCAAAGGCAAGAGGACACCAAAGCCGTTGTGAGAACAGCTGCAATCATGTTAGTGAGGATGGAGGGAATGGCCAGGGATGTGGTCAGTAAAGAAGGCTCTGCCTGCCAAGATAAGAATTTTTTACCGGGTTCTGTAGGCACCAGGGAGCTATCAAAAATCCCAGTGTAACTATGACAGCAAATCTCTGTGTTAGAAGGATCGCTTGGGCATCATTCAAGAAGATGATTGAAAAGGGGAGGGAGTGGTTGAGGAATGATGGGACCTCTCGACGGGCTCTCATAGTCCGGTAGGGGAATTGAGCTGGTATGCTGGTGTGTGGCACAGATGGGATGGACAGTAGGGGCAAGGGGGCTCAGAAGGAAACAGGACTAGGAGATGCGCCGGGAGCGGGGGGCAGAGACCAGGGTGGGGAGTATAGGGAGCACTGACAGTTTAGGAGAAGGAACCGAACGAGGCAGCCAGAGACACACAACAGATTAATTTGGTTTCAGAGACAAGAATTAAGTTCCATCAAATTGGACAGGTCAAAAATACTCTTCAGAGGTTTCAAGTTTAGCACACCACAAAGGGAACACACAGGTTGATCCCGAGTTGGTGTGCCAAATCCTGGAACCATAGAACGGTGTGGCACCTCTTGAAGCTTAAATAAAAGGAGAGAGCATGAAGGCATCGTATTGATTTTCCTGAAATGTTGCTTGACTCCATTAGCCAAGGCTCAAAGCCCTGCAGACGTTCCCCATGCATCTGTCCTGTCAGCATCCCAGCGTCATCTTTCTCTACTGCAGCGACCCTCTGCTCTGGCCCAGAGGAACCACACAGACTGCCCGGGACTCCCTCCACCTTGCCAAGTTTACCTCCCGGCTTGCCAGGAATGCCCTGCGCCTGCCTCTCCATACGTCTTAATCTTTCCTGTTACTTCAAGGTCCAGCTGAAATCTCATCCCTTCTGGAAAGCCTTCTTTCATCATCCACGTTCAAAGGTATCTCTTCCTTCCCTGCATTCTGACAGAACCTAATTGTCTTTATGGCATTGTTACCTTTTCATAAGTCCTGTACCCTGTCTCTCCATCTAGATAACAAACTTTTTGAGGTCAGGTATTTATTGCTGTATAACAAACTATCCCCAAATTCAGTGGCTTAAAATCTCATCCAGTTTGCTGTTATCTCTTGATTTCCTGGGACAGGAATTCAGGCATAGCCTGAGTTCGATGATCCTTCAGTTCCATTCTTCTTCCTGTTGAGGTCACTGGGTGAAATTCAGCTGGCAGATAGACTAGTACAGAGGGTACGAGATGGCTTCTCCTACATGTCTGGTGCCTTGGCTGGGAGATCTGGCTCAGCTGAGCATGTTGAGTGGAGCACCTACACATACGGGCCTTCCAGAATGATAGTGTCAGGGTAGTTGAACTTCTTCCAAGGTGACTCAGGTTTACCAGCATGAGTGCTCCCAAAAGCTGGGTGGAAACTGCAAGAGTTCTTATGACCTGGCCTTGGGAAACCCAGCATTTCTCTTCTGCCACATTATATTGATTACACAAGTCACTAAGTCCAGCTCAGATTGAAAAGGAAATGGAATTAGACTCCATCTTTTAATGGGAGCAAAGAATATGAGACCACCTTTATTCTGCAACATGATATAGTCCTAAGATCCGGGCAAGTGAAGTCCCTGGCCCAGGTCCCAGGCCTGTGGGACCCCACTTTGGTGTGCTATTTCTGAATTTTTCTAAGTCCCCCTTCAGTGGCTGGGATCATTTTCCTCTGTTTCTGCACTTCGGGATACTGTCCAACCTTCCACCCCATACGTGGTATCGATTGACCAAGTGCCCTGAAAAGCTCCAGAGCCCATGCCTGTGGGTTGTCCAGGGCGATCTGGCAAGAAGATTGCTTCTGTCTACCAGCACAGTATTTCTTTTGTGGCATTGCCCAAGGTCACCCCACCTGAATGGTACTGACTTGCTGATTTGGGGTGATTCCCATTCATACTGGATACAGGATGAGTTCAGGACTCTGGGCTACTGACAGTCCACCATTGACCCTTGGAGCTGAGCCACCTGTTTGGGTCCACGTCATGGCTCTTGCCAGCCTGTGTTCTGACCACAAGCCTGCCTCCAGTCTACAACACACCAGAATAGTGGGGCTGGCAGCATTTTTTGCCCCATGTGGGGCTCCCCACCTTCCCTGGTAAGGGTGATTACCCCACGCCCACCACAGGTTTTGCACTGCACATCAGGCAGTCCACCAGAGGTGGCCATGTCTGTCTTCTCTGCTCGAGACAATTACTCTGCCGACTGGCTTTTACAATCAATGTCTTCTCTTTCCTTTGATCACTCTATTGATGTCATGAGCCACTGAGTCAGTCTTAAGTAGGGCTAGGGGAAGGCCATGTATTCCTTGCATGAATGGGACTTCTTTTTTCATCCATGCACCTCCAGACTAACTACCCTTTCTCCTCTGCCAACTGGTTTCAGTGTGGGGAAGGCAGGGGTGCAGTCAACACTGAAAGAGATCATATTCTAGGAATGCAGGGATTAAGGCCTAAAGAATGGAAGAAAAGACATAGTTGGAAGATAGATATATATATACATAATATATAATAGCTTATATATAAGTTATATTATTATAAATTTATACTAAAAAATTCTTAACAGTGAATTATTATTCATCTTTTCCTGCATACCCTGGGGAAAATTTGCCATTAGTGTCATCATCAGTGAAGCATAGTAACAAACTTTGGGTCGTCGGTATTCATGTCAGTGTGAAGGTTGATGCAGCATCATGAGTAATAATGTAACTAGCTTTAAAGAAATAAATCAAGACTCAGTTCGGGTATCATCTTCTCTTTGAAGTCCTCTTGAATCCCCAAACTAGGCTAAGTGTCACTTCTCTGTCATCACATAGTTCGTAATCACCTCTATTCCACACTCACCACATGATATTCTAAATATCTCTGTGGATGTTTCCCTTCTGTGTAGATGTGTATATTAAAGAAGGAAAAGTAAGACAAAATCAAAGAGAGAGACAAACCATAAGAGACTCTTAACTGTAGGAAATAAACTGAGGGTTGCTGGAGGAGAGTTGGGTGAGGGATGGGGTAACTGGGTGATGGGCATTAAAAAGGCCCTTGATGTAATGAGTACTGGGTGTTATATGCAACTGATGAATCACTAAACTCTACCTCTGAAACTAATAATACACTATATGTTATTTAATTGATTTTAAATAAAAAATAAAGAACTTCTATGGCAAGCTGATGGATGTTTTATTCATCTTTGTGCCCCAATCCTTGCATTGTGCCTGATACATAGTATGAGTTTAATGAATATATGTATGAAGATTCATGGAAAGAGACCACTGGACTAAGTGAGGTAGACTCTGGTGAGCTAGAAAACAGTTCTAGGAGAACAGAGGAGAGGTTGGAAGGCAAGCCACCCACAGAGATGTTGGCAGTGTAGATCAACTGTCCAGATGGCTTAGTCATAAAAGAAAATGAGATAGAAGTTAAAAATGCAGCAAGATGGAGGGATGGAGTTTTCTTCTCTTTAGAGAAAGCCCTATGCCCATATAAAGACCTAAGAGCCTGAGAAGCAGAGGGGAGGTCCTCTGGACTTCAATTTCCTTATCGGCCTTACCCACCTCACGGGGATGCTGTGAGGTCCAAAGAAGAGCAAAATGTAGGTATAAAAATTCTTTGAGAAAATTTAAAATTTCTATCCAACCTCTAAAAGCTTCTAACTACCTATAGAATTTTTAAAAAATTTGTAAATAAAAATCTACACGTGACATTTAAGATCCTCCATGATCTGGCTCCAACTTTCTTTCTAACACTACTATTGCCCCAAGCTCCCTAAACCCAGCCACGGGAGGTCTAATGTTCTTTCTCACGATTTTCCTCTTCTCAAGCTATATCCTCACCTTCAAATGTCCTTCCCTTCATCTCTATTTAGTCCATGAACCCTTTGTGCTTTTCTTCAGAAAAATGGTACTTTGTACCATTTATAGCACTTATTCTACCTGATCATGTAGCTTGAGGGCATAATTAGCCCTCTCAACAGACTATGAGAGATGAGACGTTTGAGGGTAACTTACCTTGTATTCCTCCCCCCAGGATCTGTGCCTAGTAATAGTAGGTGCTCATGAATAAATAAATATTAGAATAAATGGAAAAATGTTAGGGAAAGAATGTACATGAGTGGACAGTCTCTTGGGACACAAAACTGGGTGGGCTCCAGGATACAGGAAAATAAAAGCATCAACTTGTCAAAGGAAGAGGAACATCTCCTCCCTTGAGAGGAACTGCAGATAAGCCTGGGAGGGTGGACACGGGTTAGGTCTACGTGGAGAGACCGAAGCGTCCAAATCCTTCAAGCCCCAACTCAAATGCCAGCTCCTACATTAAGTCTTTCCTGAATCTCCGACGGGGCTGACCCCAGCTCGGCTCAGTCTCTTTGGACTTTCTCCCTTGTAGATGTTTATTTGTACTTTTATCTTACTTCCTTTCCTAGAACGCGACCTCTTTTGAGGGCAAGAGGAACCCGGTTTCTCCCACAGCACACACGACACGTGGTAACCACTCATTCATTGTGAGTTTATTGGAAGGATGAATGGGGGGGGGCAGTAAACGGACAGATTTGACATAGGAGAAGCTTGGGTCAGAAAGGCCAGTGAAGAGCGAAATCTCCGGACCCACAGTTAGGTAGTTTACAGCGAAGGGCAGGTATGCACCTGCTCTCCCGCAGCCGGGCTCTGAGCACCTCACGTCAGTCCTCTCCGACTGCCCTTGTCAAACGCCTGACTCGATGCTGACGATCGCCCCCTGCCAAAACCTATGCTTCCTCGTCCCCAACCTGCGGCAGCGCCTCTGACTACACTTAGCCTTCTCGCCCGGGCCTCTTCTCCCGTTGCCCTCCTCCTCTCTCGCCACCACCGCCAGCAGGGCGCGCGTGGGGACAGCCCTGGTCGGCAGGAGGGGGCGGGTCCTGCGACCGGAAGCCGGAAGCCGCAAGCCGGAAGCGGGGCTGGGAGGACGTGTTCCGAGGAAGCCAGGGCCGGACCGGCGGGGCCGGCGACATGGAGCCGCTTTACCAGCAAACGCACAAGTGAGGGCCGCGTCGGGGCACGGGCGGGGGCGCAGCCAGGCTGGGCGAGGCCGGCTCCCCTGGCTGGGGCCTCGGGGCGTCCGCCAGTGTGGAGGCCGAGTCCTTCCGCCGGGGCGCTGCCGGGGGCAGCTCGGAAGCGCTCCATCTCTGGCGGGATGCCCAAGTCAGCGGCGGATGGAGGGTCCCGCCTGATGCGTGGGGACGTTGGGCCGGACGGCTCCTGGGATCTTCGAGGCCGTGACTACCTGCTAGGTAGACTAGGCGAAGGGAAAGTCACACTTACAGATTATACTACTTTGTCCAGCACCTGCCAGCTTGATGCTCTGGGTTGGTAGAGCTGGTGGGGAGTGAGGCCCCTACACATAGTTTACTATTTACTTGGACCAGTCAAGGGACGTCCGAAGAAAGATCTAAGGTGTGGCCGGATGGGATGGAGGGTAAATGAGCAGTACAGACGGAATCTTCTTTAACAATTTGGAAAGATCCATCACTGGACTAAGGTCGTCAGAAAAAGCTTCCTTGTAGCCCACAGCTCCTAAATGATGTCAGCCCCTACTCTTATTGACACTGATCTTGTTGCTGCTGCACTTTTCCCCTTTTTATTCTGCTATGGTTTATACTAGAGAGCATAATGATGGAGTGTTTGGTTTGGGTGAGTGAAAATATAGAGCCTACTTTGTAACGGTATTAAAATGACAGAATTTGCTCTCACCCTGGGAGCCTCAGTCTCATATAAAAATTATAGGAAGGGGCTTTAAAAATTTGACCTATGAGTCAGTTGGAAAAGGAATGACAGTTCTCACGTTGCTAAGAAAGGGCAGGTCTTTTAAAGTCTGTCTTTCCCCTCAAGTACTGAACCTGGGAGTTCTGATTCTAGACTTCTTCACCTTGTTTTTCTGATCTATAAAATGTTAGTTTTGGGCCAGTTAAACTTCCAGGCTCCTTTCAGCTTCATAATCCTGGTGATTGAGTGTCTTGAAGAAAACACACAATTCTGTGAGCATCAGCAATTAACTTTTGCAGTTGCGAAAATTAATGATTGTAGCTGAATTGACACAGCAGTAACTGAGCATATGAATTGCACTGGAACTTTGAACCCAATTTGTGGTTATCTCTTGCCGTGTCCCTGAAATTACATTGAGATCAATACTTTAAAGTTATGTATCTTGAAAACTCCTGAACCGCCTGAGCAACGAGTGAAAAAAAAAAAGATGAAAATCAGAATAAACATCTTACAGTTAAATAATACTGCATTCGGATGAAATTTGTAGAGGAATAAGTAGCCAGGCTTCTATTTTTGATATTCCAGTGGTTGTAAAGGTGCCCATACTTGTCCCCTATATCGTCCAGCCTCATTCACCTTATTATCCCCAGAGATTCTGATTCATTAAGTCTGGAGGACAAGAAGCTCTATTTTTAAAAAGCTCTCCAAGTGTTTTTGATGAGCAGCTGGGTGTAAAAACTATTACTTTATCTCAAGACCAGTTTTTCCTTTTTTTGATTTTGCCTTCTGGTGGGAGGCTAATTATAGTAGAGGCAAAGTCAGGGAGATGAGAATGACCAGATGGTTCCCACTACTTTTAAGTAAAAACAACCGCAAAGGTGTGTGTGATGCTATGTAGGTTACATAGCAGTTTCATACTGCATTTGGATCTCTGAGCCTTTAAATAATGGTGATTATTAGTACCCTATTTTACCTAAGACTGAGGTGCCAAGGAGTTAAATGACTTGTTCATGGTCCCTCAGCCACTACATAGTGGAAGCAGAACTTGCATCCAGTATCTTTTAACTCCAAAACATTCCTGCTCACAGTGGTCAGAGGCAGCGTGGATACAAAGTGGTGTTTATGAAGGGGGATGATGGTAGTTCCATGACTTTTAAAAAGCAATTTCATTCTAAAATTCTTCCTAGATCTTCTACATCTTTTACAGACTTTTTTTTTTTTTTTTTAAGTCAGCTACAGTGACTTGCTATCAGATCTCTCTGCTTATTTATGTTACTACCCAAGCCCACCATGACTCCCATGCTGGACAGGGCTAGGACTTCCGGTTTCTAGTGTCCACACCCCCAAGTCATACCTTTGTATCACCTGTTCCTTACTGGCTTCAAGTGTGTGGTCTGAATTCCCAGTTCAGTTTAAAACAGATTTCCCACTTGGTATATAGTGGTTCCCACCGTGCCATTCATACTTGCTTTGTTATTTTGCATTTACTTCCTCTCAGACATGCAATGTAGAGATTGGAATAATTTTCTTGGCTCTATCTCTCCTAGTTCATTCTAAGCATAGATGGGAAAAGTCAGTAATGTTTCCCTACAGACTAAAGTTTATCCGTTTTAGCTTGGAAAATAGTAAAAGCCACCTGAAGGATGTTTATAGGGTGGGTGTTGCCATCATCTCTCCCTCTGTCCTCATAGAATTTAAGATCTGGAAGTGGGGGTGGTGGTGCCTGGGTGGCTCAGTTGGTTAGGCATTCTTGGTTGCGGCTCAGGTCATGGTCTCAGGGTTGTGAGATTGAGCCTGGTGTCGGGCTCCGCCCTGGGCAGAGAGCCTGCTAGGAGTTCCCTCTCTCTCTCTCTCTCTCTCTCTCTCTCTCTCTCTGCTGCACACCTCCCCCCGACTCGTGCACATTCTCGCGCGTGCTCTCTCTCTCAAGAAATTTAAAAAAATAAAAGGGACTGACAAGATCTTCCATTCCAACACACTTTGGTCAGGAAAAGGCTTTATAAAACCCAAGACAGTTCATGTACCCTGTGTTTAAGCATGCAGGAGCTCTTGTTTTTCTTCCTTTTCTTGAAGAGAGAGAGTTCATAATTATTCTCGGGGTTCTTTTCATGGGGGAGGGGCACACTGCGCTGAGATCTGTCGTCTTGAAATTTGCACCTTTTGGTTCTGATCTCCCTTAAGGAACAGCAGTGGAGGACAAACCCGTTCCTCTTCGAATGTGTTAACTCTAGATACTTGAAGAGCACCAGCTGCCCCATTTAATTTAGGGTTTTTTCCCTTTTCTTTCCTCAGAGGCTTACTATCACTAGCTCTTTTGACCATTCCTCTTTGTGACTTGAGTTCTAGACTTTCCCGGTCATCTTGTTCATCCATCTTGCATTAGGGGAAGCCTTTAATAGACAGTGTCCTTTAACAGATGGCTCCCAGAATGAAGTGCCAGTCGATATTGTACATTGGACTTTTTTTAAAAAGTCTTAAGTCAAAACGCTTTTCGTCCCTGACAAATTTCATCTTACTACTTTAGCCTAAATGAAAAATGTTAATACTTGTTTTGTGGTACAATATCCTACCTGTTCATTATAGTACAGAATCATATGCAAACTTCATAAGCGTAAGTTGGTTTAAAAAAAAAAAATATTGAACAGAACATAGAGCCAAAGGCAGTCCTGTGGTAGAATGCTAGGAATCTTCCCTGGCATCCCTTGGGTACCATCATGTAGCCCACCGTGAAGCCCTCATCCTTAAAGTTTAAAATACTTGTCAATCCAATGGGAGAAATGTGATATCTCATTATTTTTAATTTGCATTCTCCTGATAACTAGTCAGGTGGAGTGTCTCTTTATATACCTATTGGCCTTTTGGGTTTTCTTTTCTGTCAGTTGCCCTTTGCCCATTTTACAGAAGTGCTTTGTTTGACTTTTCCTATTGACTTATAGCATTTTTCTTAAATATTCTAGACATTAGTCCTTTCTCATCTGCTCCAGGTGTTTTCCAGTCTCTGCCTGTCTTTTTATTTATTTATTTATTTTAATAGTGCCTTTGCTATAGAAAAGTTGTTTTAATGTAGTCAAATTTACCAGCCTTGTGGTTTTTGAGGTTTGGGGGATAGTTTTGGTTATTGTCTTGTTTAAGAAATTCTTTAACCTGGGGCGCCTGGGTGGCTCAGTCGTTAAGCGTCTGCCTTCGGCTCAGGTCATGATCCCAGGGTCCTGGGATCGAGTCCCAGATCGGGCTCCCTGCTCTGCGGGAAGCCTGCTTCTCCCTCTCCCACTCCCCCTGCTTGTGTTCCTGCTCTCGTTATCTCTCTCTCTCTGTCAAATAAATAAATAAAATCTTAAAAAAAAAAAAAAAAAAGAAATTCTTTAACCTGAATCATAATACGTACTCCTGTGTTTTCTTCAGAAAGTTGTTTTTTTTTTAATTTAAATTCAGTTACTTAACATCTAGTGTATTATTAGTTTCTGAGGTAGAGTTCAGTGATTCATTGGTTTCTTCAGAAAGTTTTAAAGCCTCACTTTTTCCGTTTGGGCTTTAAACCATTTTGAGTTTATTTTTGTGTATTATGTGAGATACCGTCTTCTGTGTGGGTAACAAACTGAGCCTTTGGCATTGATTATAGTCCATTCTTTTCCCACTCGTTTATGTCATTGAGTCCCCAAACACAGAGGACTCTTTCTAGCCTCTGTTCTTTGCTCTTGAGTCAGCGTTGGGGTCAGGGTTTGTCTGTCTCTGCACTGCTACCATATTGGTTTTATTATTACAGCTTTGTAATAAGTGTTCATAGGAGGTGGGGCAGGTCATCCCTCTCATACTTAACTCAGAGTTGTCTTGGGATATTTTTTGCCCCCCACCCCTTTTTTTATTATGTTCCTGTTCCTGTCATTAATGCTGCTAATTTTCAGATTTGCTCTGTGAAGCTACCATTGAGAATTTACCTCACTGCCTACATGCAGGCCTTCTGTGAAATCCTAATTCTCCTTTCCTTCAGTGTGCCATGCAGTCCTCTACTGCTGTTTCTATGGTAACCTGATCCAGATGTTGGTTAAGTCAAGCTGCATCCCTATATCTGCCTCCAAATCTCCACGTGCCCCATTCTGAACTCTCAGGACTTACCTTACTGGAGTAGCAGTCTGGTCCCACCATCTCTAGTAGTGATTTCTAGTTTCCTCTCAGGGCCATGGGTCTCACCCAGGTGCACTCAGAGTCATTGGAGAGTTGGCCTTGCTTCTGGTGCCATGGGTCATGTTTAGAGGCTACAGGAAAGCCCTGGAAAAGACAAGAGGAAGTTGAAACCAAATTTGGGCTCCTTTGCTTGCATTGGTCAATTTGGGTTCACAGTTTGTGGTGCTCATGGTGGAGGATGGCTGCTGATGTTTCCCTCAAGGGTTGGAGAGGAAATAAGAGCTCAGCAGATTCCTTCCCTGTGCTTCTAAGGTACAGAGGCCAAAAGCACCAGGAACCAGTTGTCAGGGGCAGCATAAGCAGTAGTCCAGGCCTGATCACAGAGGCCTGCTAGGAAGGGCTCCGAGGGTGACCTTGGCCAAGCCCTGGGGAACCTCCAGAGAGTGCTCTAGGGCCTGATGTCTGGGACCATGCTAGGGGGCCAGGGTACGGTGTTGCATTTCCACACAAGATAGCAAGCGCCTGGTATTGCCAGGGAGAGGTGTTTACCAAACAGGAGATCCCTATCTTTCAGGACCTTCTCTGATCGTTTTCTGCAGCTCATCACCTCATCCCTTCTCCCCTCCGACCCCAACTCTCTTTCAGGCCGGCCAGCCTGCTTGTAATCCACATGACATGCCTTTTTGCCTATCATTTTCTTCATCTCTTCCCTCCCCAGATCATGTCTCCCCTCTTCAGAATGATCTTCAGAACTCGCTTCGCCCCACCAGTTTCCCCCAGCGTACTCGTTTATGTTTGTGCCTTTGCTTGACACCAGCACTCCTCCGCTTCCTGTTTGTTTATACTAGTACGTATGAGTGCTCTCTCAAATCTGGGGACTTTCCATGTCCCTCTGGCCTGTCATTGCTAATTACCTTGTTTCTCGAGGACCAGGATTATATCTGTCCTGCCCTTTGACTCTCCCTAGTACAGACCAGCACTCGGCACATTGGGTCAAAGAACAGAGAGTGGGATTGGCTGGGTCCAGATTGAGGTTTATCACTTGCTGTGTGACCTTGAACAAGCTACATAACCTTTCTGGGCTTCAGTTGTCTTATTTACAAAATGAAGATGATAATGGTGTTTTCCTCGTGGGGTTATTGACTTCGAGAATGTCTTAGATGTGGCAAGTGCTCAGTAAATGCTGCCTGTCAGTATTATTATTCATATCCGTGTTAAATTATTAGAAACCCTGCCAAAACATGTGGCCTAAAGTGCCACTTACAAATTTTACAGTTCAGCGATGCTGTCCATTTAAATCAGTTACATGTTGGCATCAGAAAACGTGTCTTTCCTGACCAAAGCACTGTTGATTACTCCTGTCTCGCTCATTTCCTCTCTCTTCCTTTGATAGGCAGGTCCACGAGATCCAGTCTCACATGGGACGCCTGGAGACGGCAGACAAGCAGTCTCTGCACTGTGAGTAATTAACTATGGAGACCAGAGTCCTTTCTCTGATGACACGATGCTAATGGGCTGGGTTTCCTGACCGCGTTTCTGCCTCAGGGGCTTAATGATTCAGCGCAGAATGAGTTCTGTTGTTAGGGTGGACAGAAAAACCCTCTGGCAAAGTCGCTGACTTCCCTCATTGCGCCCTGTGGAATCCCACCAGTCTTATCCCCCATTACCCCTCCACTCAACCTGACATGGCCCTATGGGAATGGACATTCTCTCCTCCATCTGTCTTAATCTAATTACCGAGCGCTTAGAGGAATGTACTCCCTACCAACTCAGAGATACTCAACTGGAATCGGTCATTTCTTCTGAGCTGAGAACTGTGGCTTTTTAGGAGGATTATTCAGAAACGAATAGCAGTATTAATTAGTTTAGTTCCCACACCCTGGTTTCTTTGGAGAAGAGCTCTGCTTTTTGTTTCGAGGTTTCTTTGCCGTTGTAAGGAAAGGTCCTCTCTCGGAGCTGGTGAGACAGGCACCGCTGGTTCCCCACACGCTGCGGAGGCCACCCCGTCACCTCCCTGCCTGGCTGTCAGCACGCCCGATTCTGGCCACCTCTGCCTCCTTTCCACAGCCTCAAAAGCATCTCTGGGTTCTGTGCCCACCTCGTTCTCATCTAAACTGTATATCAGCTGTAGGTTGGACAGGTCCACTGTCATGTCTTTCTGGGGCGAGAAGCAGTCTGGGTGCCTTTCTTCTGTGCACAGATTAGTGTCCAATCGGCTCTGTTTGCCTTCCCAACATTCCCATCGTCATACGATTAAAAATGGAAAAGCGGTAATTTCGACTGTTTATCAAAAGGGATAAGGAAAATGAGTGTATTTATCATATCTTTACCTCTGTGGATTCTTTCCTGGGCCTTTCCTAGTGATATTTGGTCGATCTTGGGGACATCAGCGTCAGCCTGCCCATTCTTACGGAAAGCCTTAAGGGAGCACTCCTCTGTGTTTCACACACTCATCTTCCCCTTTGCTTTTTTTTTCTTTTAACCTCATTACTGTAGGGAATTCAATTGGCAGCCTTTTTACTAGATATTTATAACTCGTATCTGAGAATAATCTCAAAGGAAAAGAGACCTCATTCTGTTTCAGAAGATACTGCATTTTGCTTAAAATATTTCATTTCTAAAAGCAAGAAATTTATTTCTACAGATTCATCTAGCTTTTTTAAAAATTGGCATTGTTATGGCTTTAACAGTTACGTGTGTGTGTGTTTAGAACAACATTTACAGAGTCACTTAGTATAACTTGAATTTTTTCCAGTTACTCACTAGTATATGTGTTTTTCTCCTTTTAAAATGTGTTTCTTTGAATTTATCGGATATGGAAAAAAGATGTGTTTAATGTATCCTTCTAATTTAAGTTTGCTGTCTCTTTTCCAGCAATTATTCTTTTTTCTCTTTTGTGCAGTAGTAGAAAACGAAATCCAAGCAAGCATAGACCAGATATTCAGCCATCTAGAACGTCTGGAGATTTTGTCCAGCAAGGAGCCCCCTAACAAAAGACAGAATGCCAAACTGTGAGTGCTCTGACACCCTCAGCCCGTGAGGGCTAGCCCAGGGGAGGCTAGCGAATATTCTGAAAATCCATTTACGCATTGAAAAATGAGACTCTGTAAAGATAAAGTTCCCCTAAAGGGCACGATTCCCTTTCAGTGATGCTTCCTCAAAATAAAAACCCTGTAAGGTTAGTGGCTCAGAAGCCTCGTGTCTCCTCACGTTGGGTCATTTTGAAATTTTGCCTCCGGTACTGCTGTTCTGACCAGACCCAGGGCCACTTGAAGCCTACTGCTGTCGGAGAGGTTGGCTCTGGCCTTTGGTTCCTGCTGCCTTCTTGGGTTGAAATGAAATCTTGCCCTTAATCACTTCAGTCAGTCTGTTTATAGTGAGATGCCAATCTTACGTTTGATACTCCCCCATGAAATTAAAATGAAACCCCCCTCACCACCTCCACCCCAGCCCCTGCTCCCGAAAGTTTTATGAAACTTTGTTGGTGCTTTACTCGAAAGATGCCCTTGGGCTTCTTCTTGGAAAGCGATACAGTCCATCGAAGGTCAGGGAGAGGTCCTTGAGCCTGCTTCCTGTCACCTGTTCCCTGTCATGCATCCAGACTCAGAGACCAGCAGAGCTTAAGTAAAGCTGCTGGAATCTCGTGGGCGACCACCCGACTGGAACCACAGGCTGCTGCTTTTTTTTCACCATCCTCGATCAAAATCAGATGATGCTGTCGGGGATAATGCGAAGCGGTGTGGGGAGAAGGGAGGAAGCATCTTCCTTGAATACAGAGCCTGGCCACTGCAGTGTGCTACCTCGGGTTCCTGACATGTAGTCTCGCTCTCCATCAATTCCAGGCGTGTTGACCAGTTGAAGTATGACGTCCAGCACCTGCAGACCGCTCTCCGAAACTTCCAGCATCGGCGGTACACAAGGGAACAGCAGGAGAGACAGCGAGAGGAGCTTCTGTCTCGCACGTTCACCACTAACGTAAGCCGGGCTCCGGGGTGGGGGATCTGCAGGTACCTGGCAGCTCCCGGGAGCTGCGGCTGGGGTCTTGGAGCTTCATCCTCTTCGGGGATGTCTGAAGGCGACCGAGGAGGAGGAGACTAACCAGAAACGACAGTGGCCTTCGTGCATTGCCGCCGACCCTAGACCCAGACAGGGAATCTCTTTTGCTGACACAGAAGCCCGACAAGGAAGCGGTTACACCGAGGGAACGGGCAGAGGTGAAAATGACCTGGTTGGACCGGGAGGTGGAAGTTCATGTGGTGGAAACGTTTTTTTCTGGTCAGATAGAGACATGATGATGAGAACGGAGACCGTTTGTGAGGAGGGCAGCGTCCCAAAGCTGCCTTCGGGCGCTCGGCACGGCTCTGTCTGCAGCTCCAGGGTCGGGTCCGTGAAAATGTTTTTGCCCCGAATCTGAGCAGCAGTTTGGAGGAATTTGTTAACAGATATTTTGTTTTGGACAGATTGCTTAACTTTGAGCCTGTTCGAAAGTGGCCTGTTGGCTTGCATGTTTGATTTGGGGGACACCCTTGGCCCTGCCCTTGGGTTTCGATAGGATCATTTCCTGCACACGGCTGTACAGCACGCTGGCCTTTTGCGTGTCCTGCATCATATATTTCCACCAGGCGAGGTGGGTTTGGGGGCCTTTATGTTTTTTGTTTCGTTTTACAGAGAAGTTCATTTTCTGATGAGGTCTTAGCGTTCTGAGCCTGCCGTTAGAATTCAGATCAGTCCACATGTCACAGAGGTTTGTCTTTTTGCCGCGTCCCCACTGGCAGTAAATCTCCCTGAGTGTTTCAGAATGTGCCCGCATAGATTTTGCTTCTCTAGGGTAAGCAGTCACATATCAGTGGTTAACAGTTGGAAAGTGTAATGAGGATGTGCTTGGTGGTAGAGCGGTAAGCGTAGTTCCTTTCCTCTTTTTTTGGTAGTTTCCAAGTTTTCATAGATGCCTTTCAAAAGCGTAATGAACTATACAACACACTAAAAGGTTTGTGGGCTTTTGATAGTCATGGCACTGGGTATTCAGGCCTGTTTTAGGCCAGGGACGATCACTTAGAATTATTTTGTTTCTCATCAGCTTGGTGTGGTGCGGAGCACACAGTGCCCTTAGTAAAACTTGACTTGCCAAATGAACTACTTGCTGGTCATTCTGTGAGCTAAAACTAGGATACGTTTTTCTGAGCGATGGTGCCCCATTAGCTATTAGAGGGTAAGAAAGATTTGTATATAAAAGGCAGATCTGCAGATGCTGGTCAGGTGAAGAGAAGTCGCTCATTGATTCATTCAAACGCTGGAGTCTTTCGCCCCCCTGAGCACTGGCCATGTGCAGAAAACACTGTTGAAGGTGCCGAGAGTAAAGCTTGGGAAGAAAGGCAAAGCCGGGGCTCCTCCCTGGGAGACGCTCCCGTGTGAGCCGCAGGGACAGAGAGCAGGTGCGTGGGAAATGATTCCGGACTTGTGCAGCAAAGAAGGAGGTGGTTTAGCCTCTTGGTGGTGATTGAAGGAGGTGAGAAGGGCACTGCTTGCCAGGCCGAAGAGTGTGCCATGGTCAGGAGGCAGGAAAGCGGAAGTACGGCCAGTCCCGACCGGGACTGTATACGGCCCACTTTGGTGTAAACTTAGAGCCCCAGGACCAGTCTCAGGGTTTGTCTCCACAGGGTGGTTAAGAGGGCAGGGTCTGCACTCAGTAGTGAGATGCAGGCCCTGCTGGACTTAGCAGCTCCGCCTGATCTCAGACAAGCTGTTCCACCTCTCTGGGTTTCAGTTTCTTCACCTCTAAAATGGGGACACTATAGTAACTATGTCGTCATGTTAAGAGTGAGGATTAAGTGAGCTTAGGGTAATGCGCACACAGAGGGGAAAGCACTTGATCAGTGTCTGTTTTTCCCTCCCTTCCTTTCTTTACAGCCCTTTCTTGCCTGCTTAGGAGAATTGTCATTCAGGCTACCATTAGCCTTCCATGGAAATGGGCTCCTCTGTCCTGAGTCTCCCATCTAATGGCAGAGATAAGCTGTAGATAAAACAGCTGCAGAACCAAAGCAAACCTTTAATACTGTGTTAAGGGAAAGCCAAGGAGAGGAACACGTGGACCACGCTAAGTTCATAGTCAGGGAAGTAGTCAGAGAAAGCCTTTAGGAGAAGGCCAGCGAGGCCTTGAAGGCCTGATGTTTTTCCTAGGCTGTGGTCATGGTAGAGAGGCAGGAATGAACGGGCCTTGTGTAGCGGGACTCATTTGCAGAGTGCCAAGTAGGAGGGAAGTTGCTCTTCCTCTGAGCGAACAGAGGCCACCCCAGGTCTTGGCTTTGCTTTCTCCTCTCTGTTAGGTTCCTCTGATTCTTGCACCATTTCCTCTGGCTGTTCCTCTGGCTTGGCCTTGGCCAAAAGGCAGAGCGGCCAGATGCGGTGGGACCCCAGGAGCTGACCAGCCAGCAGAGCTAATCCAGTGCCTGCGTCTCTTTCACAGGACTCTGATACCACCATCCCAATGGATGACTCGCTGCAGTTCAACTCCTCCCTCCAGAAAATTCACCACAACATGGATGACCTCATTGGAGGAGGGCACAGTATTCTGGAGGGACTGAGGGCCCAGAGACTGACCTTGAAGGTGGGGGCCCTTCTGGGGGACAGGGAAAAGGCCCCTTGTTTTGGCCTCATCCAACGGTTTGGTACCTGCGTTTACATTGCGGTTCCGTATCCTCACATTTTGAGATTTTGATGGAGTCTGGGATCCTTCCTATCAGAGCTGAATTATTGTGAGTCCACAGGTCACCACACTATCTTCGCCAGGAGCTATTTCTTGTGCTTGCAGCGAAGCATAATTTAGCATCTCTCGGTGTCTAGGTCCTTTTCCATTTACTGAACCTGTCATGAAAGTGACTGCTACAAAAGGAACCAATAAGACCAAGAAATTCCACAATTTCAAAAATGACAGAATCCACGATTCTAAGAAGGCAGATGCGGCCGTATGGGGCACCTCCCCTTCCCATGGCTTCCCAGAGAGCACTACACACACACACACACACACACACACACACACACACACGACCACCTTGGAACCGAGACCTTTTGTGCTCCTGTAACTGAGCCCCCGTGGGTGGGGTCTTAGGGCCGCCCTGGTAGGCCGGCAGCAGACGGCTTCTAGAGCACCAGCCGTTGACCCACAGCACCGCTAGCACTCTCGTTAGTCACAGGTGTTTCTAGAAGCCCTGCCGCATTGGCTGAGACTCAAACCTCCCCCCACCCCACCCCCGATCCCGGGAGTGGTTTACAGAAACATTACACAGATTCTGATGTCAGTCGTGGTGTTTCAGCCTCAGCCCTTTTCCTGTATCAGCGCTGATGGATAATGGGGTGTGGGCTGTGCCTATTATCAGGGTGTGGTCCCCTGCGAACGAAGCACTCCCAGCCACTGAGCTGTGAGAAACAGTCACTCGGAAGTGTGAGCCTTATCTTAGTTTTTGTTGGACCACGTTGAGCCTGTCAGCTCCGCAGGACTTCAGTACGTGGCTGGACAGCCCCTGCCATCTTTACGAAGGAGAAGGTCAGGCGAGCCGTGAGGGACACTTGACCTCCTGCCGCTGGCCGTGGTGCTTCTGATGGTCTAGAAGTGTGGTCTCTGACAGCTTCACAGGTGCCCCTCTTTCCGAGCGGCCACCTGCAGTAATCTCAACTGATAAGTGATGACTCATCTGCCCTTTCTTTAGAAAACTGTCCATATCCCAGAAAAACAGTAAAACCCTTTTGTTTATTTGTGTTAGAGAGCGTGTGCGAGAGCGGGGTTGGGGGGAGCTTGCAGAGGGAGAGGGAGAATCTTCAGCAGGCCCCATGCCCATCAGGGGCTCGATCCCACGACCCTGAGATCATGACCTGAGCTGAAATCAAGAGTTGGGACACTTACTGACTCAGCCCCCCAGGCGCCTCAGTAAAACCCTTTTAGAATAAGACTCACCGTATTGCACTAAGGTCGACCTGGTGGGGGTTAGTTAGAGCTTCTTGTTAAACCCAGTGTTCATTTCCCAGCAAAGTCTGGTGTCACGGGGGGGTCCAAGCAGCATCTGCCCCTAGGCTGTCCCCAGAAGGAAGTGCAGGGAAGCCTGAGAGGCGGGTGGGGTTGGAATGTGAGTTTTCTAATTCACTTTCCTCCACGCACCTACCCTACTTGCCTTTTGTCTCTTGATTCCCGCCACCCGCCTCCCACCCCGCTTCCATCCGGGGTTTTCCTGCCTAAACCATTTGAAAGGAATATAGGAGAGAGCATGAAGGAACTGGGCCGTGATTTGGAGAAATTTGTGGTTGGAAAGGAATACATTTTTTTTTTGAAATTTATGTTAATTTTCAGGTGATTTTAGAAGCTTGATACTTGCACTTTGTACAGTGATGAAATAATCTGCTCTCAGAGCTAAGCAGAATCTTTAGCGTGAGCCTAAATTTTACCATCACTGTCGTGGAAAAAAACACATCTCTGGCCTCCTCTGGCAACAGTTAAGTTGGACTTGAGAGATCCCTCTCAGGCTTATTCGTCATTGCCTGGGCTGAACCCAGGTTTTGAATTCCTGTCCTCATGTTGTTTTCACTTCTGCCTCTTCTCTCTTGCTCGTTAATGCATCGTTCATTTAAAAAATGCACGGAGGGCATTAGATGCCATCCGTAAGGATGCGGTGGGTGGTGTGTATGGAAGTAGGTTAGGGTCTGCCCCAGGAGTCATTTATACTTGTTACTTCGTAAGAAATTGAGTGTGCTTAAAAAGAAAACTTAGAAAGCAGAGAGGAAGGGCACGCTGGGTGGTGTGTGCTGTTGATTTAGGAGTAAAATACCCTTTTGGCTTTGGTGGCGTTTATGTAAGGGGTCGCTGTGTTGGTGTCTCATTCCGTGTCACCCACGTCAGACCCTCTGGTAAACATGGATGTTGACCCACACGTTACACCGGAGAATCCCAGAGGTTTCTACTCTACAAGGTGAACAGGTTAGGGAGCAGAGGAAGAGTTTTTTGATGTTGCCCTTTCAAAAAAAATACATAAAACATTCCAACATAAAAAAATTTTCTTGAGGTATAATGTACATACAGGTGTACAGATGTAATTTGCCTGGGTCATTGGATTCTGGCAGACGCGCACCCCTTTGTAATTCACACTGCTGTCCAGACAGAGACTCTTTCCATCGGCCCTGGACAATCCGTCCTGCTTTTCCCAGCCAGATGATTCCTCCTTCCAGGCAACCATTGTTTTGATTATCTCACCATAAAGGAGTTTTGCCTGTTACTGAACTTCATATAAATGTATTCGGAAGTGTGGCTTCCTCTCAGGAGTGTTTTCCAAGCTCTTTCATATTGTTCATGTCGGTCATTAGGTCCTTTTAATTGTCAAGGAGTGTCTCCATCATGCAGACTCACCGGACATTGTTTACCCATTCTCTGGTTGACGTACACCTGGCTTGCTTCCAGTGTTTGGATATTCTCCTGTGTTTTCCTTCAGAAGCTTTATGTTTAATTCTGCGATCCATCTCAAATTCATTTTTGTGCATAATATGAATTGAGGATCTTCTCACACACGTACACGTATATGATATACAGGAGACGTGTGTGTGTGTATGTCCGTGATACGTATGTGTGCTAGAGTCCATTGTTCCAGCACATTTGTGGAGAAAACTTTTCTTGCCTCCTTGCTTTGCTCTGGTACCTTAATCAAAAGTCATTTGACCGTAAGCGTCGATCTGTTTCTGATTAATGCTGCATTTTATGTGCTTTAGGCATGACCAGGAGACTGTCTGTTGGTAAAGTCCCATTCCTTGGCAAGACGAGTTGATCATTGTTTTCCGTTCTCTGCTTGTCTGCCCCAGGGGACTCAGAAGAAGATCCTCGACATTGCCAACATGCTGGGCTTGTCCAACACCGTGATGCGGCTCGTTGAGAAGCGGGCTTTCCAGGACAAGTACTTTATGATCGGTGGGATGCTGCTTACCTGTGTGGTCATGTTCCTCGTGGTGCAGTACCTGACGTGAGCCAGCCACGGCCCAAGGCTACCATCGTTCCCGCCGAGTGAGCGTCTGCGTGAGAGTGTGTGCGTGAGCGCGAGAGGGGGGCCCAGAGGCTGCCTTCTGAAATGTATGCCCTTCTTAACTGTGAAGACCACTCGGAAGTAATTGTGATCTGTAACCTAGTGGGAGTTTCAAACCTGCTCTGTGTTCTGTGGTACCTTGGAGGGGGGAGTTAGTGCCCCCACGATGCACGGCGCTTAGGAAATGAAAGAAGTACCTGTTCTCTCTCTCTCTTTCTTGCCCTCACTGGGGGAGGAAGTGACGGTAAGGGTAAGGGAGGAAGCAGGAAGGAGAAGATGGCTTTGCCGGTTTTGTCCACGTAGCTGCTGCGCACCCTGGGAAGGCTTTCATAGTGAGCCTTGCAGATAGGACTGTCCACTTTGTCATCGTCTGGCCTCCTGGCTCCTAATGGGTAGGTCAGAGCAGAAGCAAAACGAAGGAGGGGAAAGAGGCCTTCTTTCCCTACATCGTTGTAACAGATGGATTTCCATGCTCTTTTTTTTTTAAAGATTTTATTTATTTATTTGAGAGCAAGAGAATGAGAGGGAGGAGGGTCAGAGGGAGAAGCAGACTTCCCGCCGAGCAGGGAGCCCGATGCAGGACTCGATCCCAGGACTCTAGGATCATGACCTGAGCCGAAGGCAGTCACTTAACCAACTGAGCCACCCAGGTGCCCGATTTCCATGCTCTTGTTACTAGCTTCCCCCATCCGCCAGGGACATGCAGGTGATTAACTGCCGGTACTTGTCACCCTTCCCTGGAAGCAGCTACCTAGAGGAGACAGAGGCACTGATGCTATTGCAGAAGCTCGTAAGATTTTCCCCATGAGGGTGTTGGGTGTTGCTCCTTTCTAAAGTGAGGCCAGTATTATTCCCTGAGAATGTTCGGTCTTGAGACTGAAGACCCTGATCGCTGATTTTTTTTTTCCCAGTGGTTAATAGAATGGGTGGTTTCTGCGGTTCCAGGACTGCAGCCTGGGGTCACGGCCAGGCCCTGGTGGGCCTTTGCCCCTGAGAAAGTCGCCGTATGCGGAGGTTAGTGTTGTGTCCATTACGGCGTCTTCTCTCGTTTTAGCGTCTCTGATTCTCTGGCTGTCTTCCCTTCCCTGAAATCTAGCAGCTGCCAGCCAGGCCCCCATTCTGCCCAGCCAGTGTGGGCAGGCACCACCCTGGAGACATCCCTGGTGTCCTGTGGGTCTCTGTTGTCAGGGACCAGGACATTTTTCCCTCTCTGACCAACCCTGGATCAAGGCTGCACCAGGACCTGGTGCACTGTGGAATTTATTATAAAGCCAGCCTCTCTGTTGTGAGTGAGCACTGCAGGTTCCAGAAAGACGTGGTTAGCATGTGTTTTCATCTGTCACAGGCCCTACCAGCCCCTAAGCTCACTAGCCTTGTGGCAAGACATAAAATAATACTTGGAATTTCCCAGAACTGGAACCCGGGTCAGTATTAATCCACCTGGGATTGTCCTGCCCCACCTGCGTCCTATGTTTGTTTTTTGTCACCTGGACGGTCATCTGTCTTCTCTTCCTTTTCTGTGTGTGTTCCATTCCACCTCCCTTGTTTACCTCCCACCTGTTTCTGTAGCAATTTTGGTCTTTTTAGGCATACCTTCTGGCGAATGTGTCTTAATTGTCACAGATTTTTCAACATGAGTTTCCCCTGGCACTGATTTCACACTTGGTGGGCCCTCCATTGCTCCTACCCCTCTGTGCTAACCAGGGGCCCTGGGTTTCCAAGGAAGGGGGGGTCTAGGACCCCTTCATAAAAGGGTTGCGGGTCCTGCCGGAGTAAGAGCAGTGGCCTGGAGGGTAGACAGAGGAGTCTGGGCGTCTTCAGACCTAGGTCTGACTTTGGGGAGGTGAAATTTCCAGCACCCCTAGCCCCCCTGCCAGCACGGGGATCTCAGCAGTCCATAAAAAGGGTTCCATAAAATGGATTTTTGAACTGCACAGACCCGGTTGTCCTATTCCCTTGGGCATCTAAGGATCCTGCCGAAGAGCATCCTTTAGAGGAAGGTGCGTAAGGAACAACTAAGCCATGTGGACCTGACTCGGGGCGGGGGCGGGGGGGTGGGCGGTGGGTGTGGAAACTCCCCCAGCACCCCGTCCTGCACGGCTGATGTGATAGATCTATTTGTAGTGTACGCCAGCGTGCTTCCACACACGCCCTCCCAGTGAGCGCTGGTCTTGGTGAGCCAGAGCTAAGGCTTTCTGTCCTGCTGTACTTAGAGAGCCATCCTCCCGACTTTGTAATAAAAGTTATGAAGGCAGTTCGTGGGTCTTTACCACCTGGGGCTAAGGAACAGCCCCCACAGTGTGTCTGGAGACCCAGAGGCACTGAGATGGCACAAACTGGCTTTCAGGGCCTTGTGAGGAACACCCCTTGGCCTAACTGGGTGCTCCTGTCTCCACAACACCCCCCTCTCCCCTGCCAGAGCGAAGGGAAGCGCTCCAGGCTGGGGAAGGAGCACCCTCTGGTGGAGCTGGGGTGAAGTCTTAGGTCACGCAGGTGCACGAACCTCCAGGGGACAGGATCTGTGACCCTGTACAGGATTTGGGTGTGTGTGTGGCAGTTGAAGACAGGTGTTTTGTCAAAGAACTTGGGATTATCTTCATTCCATGGACGTTTACTCCAGGGGTGACCACTTTAAGAAAAACCAAACTCAAAGACCCAAGTCAGTAGGAGAGTCTTGATTTTTATACGAGGCTTCAACTGCTGGGATTTCCCAGGGTCTTTTGCCCTGATGAATTTAAGTGGATTTGATTTGCAGATTTGCATTTACACCCATTGTTTTTGAAACACGTCAGTTAAATAGAGTTGAGATTGATACATTTTTTAGAAAATTGTCTTTTATAACTAATGGCCCCTTTTTTAAAGTTTCCAGGCCAGAGATTCTCAAACACTGCTCTGTGGCCAGGGGCTAGGCTGGCTGCCTCAGAAGCAGCTGGGAAACTTTTTTAAAATTCTAGATTCCTGGGGGCCTATCCCAAACCTTCTAAATTAGAGTATTTTTTAAGTCTCTAAGGTAATTCTGATGTGTGTATTTTGGAACCACTGTCTTTTAGACACAAGGCTTTTGTCTTAATCAAAGATGGTATCATTTGAAAATAAATGCTGAACTAGGCGGGCATATATGTGTAAAAAACAAAACTTATCAAGTCCAAAATAAAGTCTCATTTGTTTATATCCTATCTTATTCCAGAAAAGATTTGAGGAAATTTACAGGCACTAACTAAAACAGTGCAGTATGAAGAAGTGACCAAGAGCGAATCAGAGTAGAGTGTCATTACTAAGGAAAAAAACCCAAATGCAAGCATGAAGCCCTTCCAGAATTGTTCTGGGTCTGGTTCTGAACCCCAGCAGCCAGAACAAAGAGAGACGCATGATCCGTTACTGTCTCAGTGCGAGTGGCGATGTCATTTGCTCATAGGAGAACCCAGACCCTTAATACTGCTAGCTTGTGTGTGGTGGCCCTTACCGGAAGTCAGGTGTGGTTATTCTCCTGGGTTTCCCTCCCCTCTGCTCTTCACAAACCCTCCGAATCAGGTCATGTATTATCCCCATTGTGCAAGGGGCTGAGATTTAGTGACTTTCTCCAGGCCCCACATCTGTCTGGCTTTATAGCCCAAGCTCATAACCATGGTATCGAGGCGCCTCCCGTGCCCGGGATGAGGGGCAGGAGATGTAGGCAGGATGCCAGGATTGAGTTTAGGCTGTAAGGCACTTGTGCCTCACAGGGCAGGTTCTCTGTCCGAAAGTATTTTCCTAACTGAATGCCGGAGAGGGGATTTGTGGGGAAGTTTCTCAAGTGGAGAATGGGCGTTGTACTCAGGCCTCGCCACTAGGGAGCGACATAACCCTACCTGTGGCTGAGCTGTCCAGCACCGGGCTCTGGGCCTGAGGCCTGGTATGTTTGGAAGAGGAGGAAATAGCCGTACACTTGGGTTGGTTCCTTTTAGATACAAAATTCCCTGCCGAGTAGTGGTTCTGGGCTGTTCCTTGGGGTTCTCAGGATATGGCCAAAAAGGACCTGAAATGTATTAGTTCTGATTTTCAGACTCCCCTGCCGTTCAGTCTTTCCCTCAGCACATGGACATTATCACAAACAAGCATGGAAAACATTTCTCAAAGCGCGTGTTTGTTCCTACTCCCCTTTTTGTGTCCTTTCGTTTCATGTGGCACGTGGGACAGGAGGGAGGTGGGATGGGGCAAGGGCATCTGGTAGGTCCTTGGCGCCCTCCAGTGCAGTTGGTAAGTTCCCTGCCTTAGGAACCCCTCTGGGAGCATGCCCTCTCCACCTCCTCCCTACATCCTTCTGGCACAGGGGTCTCAATCTTGGCTCTACACGGGGATTCCTTCCAGAGCTTTGTGGGTCTTACCCTGATCTGATGTAATTGGCCTGGGTGCACCCTGGGCATGAGGAGTTTTAAGGGTTGTCCAAGCGATTGAAACATGTAGACGAGGGTGAGAAAGACTGCTTTAGCCCTAGAGCCTTCTACCCGAGGTGAGGCTGTCCCCCTGTGAACTTCCCTGTGGCCACACCAGGGACCCACGGCCCTGAGCCGCTGGGGTGGGCTTCGGGAGGGTGGAAGCTTCACTCTCCCATCAGGTGGGGGAAGGGGCCAGATCCTTCCTGGCCAGCGGGGCCCCCTCATTGACTGGCACCTCTGTGTCTGTTGGCCGAAGCACCTCAGTGGGACAGGCCAACCTCGCACTGTCACCTCTGGTGCACCTGTCAGCCCTCCCCACCACCCCCTCCCCAGTTCTGCATCCTCCCTGGACCGCTTGGGCTTCTTGGAACCTTCTGCACCTTTGCACAAGATGTTTCCTCTGGGGTGTGCCACAGACACCCCACAATGCCGTGTCCCCTCCAAGAAGCCTGCCCCGCCACCCCCCAACATACCACTGGCACCGCGCATCTGGGGAACGGTGGCGGGAAGGGCTTCACTACGGGGACCTGTGTGCGTCCTGCGTACGGAGACAGAGGTGTTCAGTAGTGGTTGGGGCCACTGGCCTGTAGGAGGGCACTTGATGAGCCCAGCCCATGCAGGTAACCGGTTTCTGAGAAATGGGTACAATGGCTCAGCAAAGCTTTTGTGGCCAGGCCGGGAGGAAGCCAGAAGGTTCAAGGCCACTGATTCCACTAGCCATGTGCTATGATTGAAGTAAAAGGGTGTGGGACTTTGTGAGCAAGAATGCATCGAGGACCGTTAGGGGAGAGGCCAGTAGGGTGACCAGTTCCTCTTGGTTTTAAAGCTCAGAGTCCTGACTCCTGGTAAGCTCCCCGGGCCGGAGCAAATCCGGATGGTTGGTCACCGCAGCCACGCTAGAGGCTCAGACCACCCTGACGGATGCAGAGCGCCCAGGGATGGGGACTGTGACCTTGGAGGCTGACCCCTGACCTAGGGATTCCACTAGTGGGGGCTCATCGGCCCTTCCTCCTGGGCACCCGTGATGCCTCCCGGAGAGTGGACGTGGCCTTGACCGGGCCCTACAGCCGAGCCCGCCCGGCGCCCCAGTCCTTTAGGACGGCAGCCACCAGAGCCCGGCATGCACCTGGCACCCTGTTCACTGTTTCAGGGCCCAGGTGGGTTGGAAGCAGCCCCTGTCTCTGCAGCTGCAGTAAGGAGCAGTGAGGGCCCAGAATCCAGGGTGCAGGCGGCAGCCTCAGCTTTGGGGTAACCCCCATCCCGTGTCCCTTCCCACAGCAGATGCGGGGCCCAAGTGACCTGGTGTTTGTAGAGACCCGGAGGTCTGGGGGCCACGGCTGCTTCCTGGAGAGCTTACCAAGTTGGGATTCGGGGTCTTGCCCCCAGAGCTGCGGAGCTGCTTGATTTGGGGGGCGGCCCGGAGCTCAGGGTATTTGTTTGAATTTTCCAGGAGAGTCTTCTGCACAGCCAAGGTTGAGACCACTGCTCTAAATGCCTCCCAGGTGTGACCGGTGGTTATTCCTGTCTAACTGGGAGGACGGGAAGGGCTCACATGAAACAACTGGAGAACAGAGTGCCCTGCGGATGTGTCCAGGGTAAGGGACAAGAGTCTAGAGTGGCTGTCACAGTGGGCTAACTAGGAGGGGCTTTCTGGGAGAGCGAGGTGCTGGCCACAGTTAGAGAGCTCCGACCAGCCTGGAGCTGCCAAAGGCAGCAGGGAGCGCTGCTGGGAGGGCTGACGCCGGTGTCCCCTTGGCTCACAGCTTCCTGGCACAGGAAGGTTGCCGCTCAGAGGCCCGAGAAGCCCGAGGTGGAGCCAGATCGCTGGTGGGCAGTAACTCCTCAGAGGCAAGCGGGGGTGCCCGCCCTGGGCAGCCAGGAAGCCATGCCACCCCCCTCCCCGGTCCAGCCAGCACAATGGGCTCCCTGTTCCTGACCCTGGGACCGCGTGGGCAGAGCCCACCGTCTGGCTCTACCCACCTCCAGGCCTGCTCTGCGAAGAGTTTCCCGTGCCCAGGGCGTGTGCAGAGACGGAGGCAAGGAATTGGGAAGTTGGACCTCTGTAGGAGGAGAAGACTCACCGCTGCTCCTCCAACCTCTCCACATTGGCATGAATAGCAGCAGATAAAACCCTGAACTCTCCTGCATGTTGTCCAAGTTCTGGGTGCTGTATGCACGGGGCGGGTATAAATTCAGTGTCCTCGAGAATTTCTTCCAGGAAACTTTTTGCCTTCCCCCTCCTTTACTCCCTTGGCAGAGGGCAGCCTCTTTCACGGAAGCAGAGCCTCTGGGAAGAAGAGCGGAATTCCAGAATGGAAGTTGTGGCCGCCTCCTTCCAGGAGAAAACACCTTGGAATCAATTTTCTGAGGTCCTCCATTTGGAGGGAACAGCACTTAATGAACGATGTAGAGGGCCTGAGATACTTAGGGGCGAGGGAAGCTCAATCCTAGTATTGTACCCTCTTACTACAAAAAGTCAATTTAATAATGACAAGGGGGCGCCTGGGTGGCTCAGCCGGTTGAGCATCTGACTCCTGGTTTCGGCTCCGGTCACGATCTCGGGGTGGCGGGAGCGAGCCCTTCATTGGGCTCCACGCTCAGTGGGGAGTCTGCATGTCCCTCTCCCTCCCCCTCTGCCCCTCCCCCTGTTCACGCTCTCCCCCCTTCTCTAAAATAAGTCTTTTTAAAAAATGACAAGAGATTATCATTGGTGGTGGTGGTGATAGGTGCCAAGCAAGTGGATTGGACACTAGAGACCATGTTCAGAGGACAGTTTGTCCAGACAAGGGTGGGAGTGGTGACGGAGCACTTCCTGGAGGAGGGAGGATTTGAGCTGGGTAGAGAATGGATTCGTGGCCAGAGCTGTGGTACTGACTGATATTCCTGAGGACTCGGAGGAGAGCTCAGTTCTCAGCTGGCTGGGTTTGGGGTGTCCTGTGGAAAGGGTGGGGAAGTATTGTGTAGGAAGCAGGAAGGGGGTGACAGGAGGCACTGGTGTGGATGCCAGTGTGGGGGTCCCTAGCTGTCCTGAAACCAGAAATGTGGGAAGGAGCCCTGCTCACACCCTGGACTCTGGCCCCAGGAGCTCAGTAAAGGGGTGCATGCTCGTACGGCAGCCGCATCTGGTGTGAGGGTGCAGGAGAGCGGATGTGCTGGGGCTCTGGGTGGCCAGCCTCAGGAGCAGCCAGCAACCTGGACTCCCCCGACCTGGTGAAACCGCCAGATGGGCTTGGGTTGGGGGGGCTGGCACTGCTGCATAGCCTGAGAGCCCCTAACAGCTCATTTTCTTGATGGTGACATGCGGATGAGACCTAGTGGAGAAGTCAGCCTGGTGTGGGGTGCGGACAGGCTCACCTGTCCTGAGGAGGACCTGACCCCCCAGGACCCTGTTGCATTTTTTGAGATGTGACGTAGGGTGATGGCGGTGGTGCCATGCTGTTTGGGATGCGGCTGGCAGACGTGGTTTAGAATCCTGACTTTTCCACTCTTAGCAGGGCAGCCTTGGGCCTAACCACCCCAACCTGTTCCTCTGTGTGTATCATGGGAATAATACTACTACAGAATGGTGGTTCGTATGGCCACACTCGGAGCTTTGCCAGGAAGTGGCATTGATTTGTAAGGAGGCAGAAGAGTTTATGATGGGAATCGAGCAGGCCTGGGTATGCAGCTCAGCTCCATCCCTTATTAATTGTGTGACCTT